GCATTTTAAGATGCTCGAATAAAAAAGGAACCGAGTCAGATTCCTGCCTGGAAAGCATTGAACAAAAATGGAAATAACCTGTGATGATCTGATTCTAAAGACAAGATATTTGATTAGTTATTAGTAGGAATTCAGATTTATAAGGGACCAAAGAAAGAACAGAGGAGAAATCCTCAAAGGGAAATCAAAGAAGATGAAGGTGATAAAACATGGGCATGGCAACCAGAATACATAGTGGGGACTTCACCTTTTAAAATAATAATCCTTCATTTACATAACATTGTAATTCTATTTTCTAGACTAATTTAGATTACCTAGATTATTTATTTACCAGGTAACATGGATTAGCATTTTTTCATCTTTAAGGGTTGTTTGTGTGTGTGTGTGTGTGTGTGTGTCCTACACACAGTCTCTGATGCTTCTGTTTGAAGAAATATAAAAATGAATTACTTTCCAAGATTGATAAAGTACTAGAAAAACAGGCTTATGATGTATGTTCCATTGATACATGTAGACATTTTTCAAAACACACCATAACTAAGTATACAGAATAACAAAGCACAAATTAAATTAAAACTTTAATCACAAGTTTTAAAAATATTTTGAAACAATTTTATTTCTATATGCATATTTCATACCACAAAGTTGCTTCAGAGGAGATAATCTTGGGTGTTTTGATATGGTATGACCATTGCCATGTATATATATGTAAAAGTATTGGATGATATTGTCACTTTTTTCCTCAACAAAAATCTTCAACAAATGAAAACTACTGAAGCTTTAAAACATTCCCTAGAATTGACTGCATTTCTCAGATATTAAAAACCATTTTGCTTTATTTATTATTTCATGCTTATGAAGTTTACTGAAATTCATTAGTTCATGTCTTAAAGATGTGTAAATTTTAAGCTTGTTTTTGTGAAACGGTTGTGTCTGTCCTATGAGTAGAAGATTGTTCTCTATATTTTTTATTTTTACTTCCCACTGGCACATTAATACAGAATATTTAACTGAAAGACAATTTTGAGTTATATATGCATGCAATTTATTTGCATAAAACAAATTTCTGTTCAAAATTTACTTATACTAGAAGATAAACTTCTTTACTATTTAATATATAAAATAACTAAATCAGGAAACAAAAAAGTTTAAGAAACAGCATTTTGATAACTTCAAAAATACATTTTCCATTAAATTCATCATTGATATCATCTAAGATATACCTTTCCTCACACATACCATTGGAGCATTAGTTTAAATAATATTTGAGTGTGAAATAGAAGCAAAAGAAACCTTTAGTTTCAACAACACAAAAAAGTCTTGACTCAGAATACCTCCTTGACATAGAACAC